AGGTCTTCATGATATTTTAGTGGCCCTGTTCCGGTTGCCTATTGCCACGCTATTCCTCTCGTACGTACCACTGGCGGTCTGGTTCTGCGAAGTCCACAGCTATCCAAACCGACCAATCAACTCCGAGGCCGACTCAGACAACCCACCTGGAGACGCTTCGTATCGCGGCGCCGGACGTGTGCTGTCGTCCGGCTGCCAACTACTCGTAACCTATTCAATAATTCTTTGCAGCGCACAATGCTTCTGGCGTGCCGATTGTCCTCCTTTTCAGAACTAGATCTGGAAGTCGTAATGGAAAGGATCTCTTTATGGCTTAAGCTGCCGTGGAAGTCTATTTCACTTGCGAGCACCTCTACTATCTAGGTTGCGATTGCCCTTTTTCACTCTTAACCGAACAACCAGTTCGTCTTGAACACGCCTTTCATACATTTGCCCTGTCGCCCTACCTATTCTTCATATTTAGGTATAAGAGGTAAATTTCTTGACATAGGCGACCGAGCTTATTCTCACCAAGTTTTCTGTAATTATATTTCTGTCCACTGTAATTTTGAATTATCCGTCTCGTAGCCGTTCCACCGTCCTTGTCTTTATCGGCAAGACTTCCGATATTAGTTTACATTTAAAAAAGTTGTTAGATGATACCCACTTTGAAATTGTGTAACATTCTTATCTGTCGGAATACTTTGAACAAACTGATCTTTATTCGAACCTTCTTTATGTGATCGAGAAATGTTCTAAACCCGGGAATTAGTCTCTATTAGGGCCCTTACCCTCATGAAAAATGCTTAGAGTCACACCTTGCTCTCGTCTTCTGGCCTACTGTCAGGTCTGGTTGTCGGTACGCCGACAGATGGACCTTGTTGTTCCGCGTCCTCATGCAGTAAAAATTCTTGCATAACTTAACGCCTTCGTGAATTTCAATGACTTACTACCTTTTCAGGATTTACTTACAATCCTCATCCTCCGTCTAACTGAAACCCCAATAATTAGCTAATCTGTAGACGGACCTCGTTTTGTTCATGCTTTTACTTGAGGTACATTCGGACCAGATCGACTTCCTAATCGTCGTTCGGGCCTACCTTTTCTCGGCAGGCCTTAGTAACACCTGTAGTTTCCCATATTTTGGTTGTATGCTTACCTTCCTTCTGCCCATACCGACTTTTGTCCCGTCAAACTGTAGGTATTTTAACACTATCCCGCCTCCCCATACTCCAGGACTCTTGGATCTTTTCCCACCAACATCCATCTAGCCACTATTTCTTGAGCAATGTCAAGCACCCTATCGCATATCTGAGCACGTTTTTTGTTTTCGTATTAGTAGCTTTCATCGACCTATCCTAAATATAGGACGCCTAATACATGGATTTTGTTGTACAATTTACCATTTTTCGCGCTGTTTTGTTTTGTTTTTAGGAAATATGGATATTGTGTTCGGCGAGGTCGATCGCTAAGAAAAAGGCTTTCTCATGCCCACCCCTCCCTTGTTAGCCCGTTAATCCCAAGCGCCCGGTTTGCCTTCATTCTGTTTACTTCCTTTGTGTACCCTTATCTCCTTCTGCGCCAGTGCTTTCAGACAGCACCAATTTTAGTAATATAGATTTGCCTCTCTTAAGTTCACTTTTTGCAGCTTTTTGCTAGAATTTTTATTTGGGGGGAAAGTGGTCGGACAATATACACCACACTTAAAAAAACACCGGCGTTTATGTCGTTAGGTACGTAGTAAGAAGTCTTCCGGTGTGAGAGATTTATTTGGAGTCTGGCGTTTCAAGAAGTTCTTTCGCCTGCCGATCCTCAGGACATGTGCACAATTTTAATTATAAGATTGATTTAACTGATACCTGGGTCTTCAGTGTAGACTGTAGAGCTAAATCAAACCCCTCCCCTCTCGTTGCTCCGTAGCTTTTGTCGCTCACTTTAATTGACTAAGGCGAACCTCTGGGGTTGAATATCGGCGATTTATAACCGCTTGTGAGGCTTTAGTGGCCTTTCGGGTCTCCTTTGTGTTTTTCGATAGTTCTTTTTTATATATTGAATAGCCGAGGTAGTGTATTCCGAGAGTGAACAAGGCTCGTCGGAAAAAAAATAGTGATATATTTGAATTTATTAGGTTTGGCAGATTTGCTTAATTTGAGTTGACCCAACTGTGAAAAAACTCGAGGTGTTCGGCGGAATTTGAACCCGCAGTCAGCCTGCTGTTTCGTGTTAGTGGATTCCATACGAGCGGTAAAATTGGGCGGC